CTCCTTTTAAATTTGATTTCACCATAAGTGCCCTCTAGCGCTCTCATTTGCGCTATACCAACTTCACGAGTTTTATGACAGTTAATTTTTGGATCAGACCGGGAGTCTCCAAACCAATAAAAATTATTGCCATTCGACACCTAGTAGCTGATAACACAGCGCGATACGACACGGTGTGTAAAAACAGTGCGCGCGCGGCCAACAGATTCGGTCACCGTGCGCCCCCCCCCCTCCCCCCACACGGACTTGGATTTTGGGATTAATTTTTGAGAAATCCCAGATTTTAGGTTCGGAATGAGTTTTCCTCTCCTTCCTCGGTTTTTGTTAAGTTGTAGCGCACTGGAAACTTGGAAGTCGGGTTTTGGTCGATTTTGAGTTTAAAAGCCCAACTTTGCGACAATTATAACTCGAAAACGGTGGGTCGTATGGAAAAAACGTATACCACCTTTTTAAAAGGAAATTTAATAAGCTTAATTATAGCACTGAGGTATTTTGACGGAAAAATGACTTTTTCACTGACTTATAGGCCAAAAACCGAAAAAATAGCGATTTTAGGCCTAAAAATCCAAGATGGCGGCTGAAGCTCCACTTCAGGAATGGTGCAAATTTAACCCTTATTTAAGGACCTCATAATACGTCTTTTAAAAAAATTTCCAGCTTTCCAGCATTTAATTCAATATTACCCCTCATATGGAGCTGTGGTGCCTGGCCTATTATAATTATGTACTGATGTAAATCTACATAAAGTACAAGGGAAGGAGGTCAGGCTGTAAATGAACTGGACTCATCTCATTCAAGAATATCCATTTCCCACTGAAAATGAAATTCTGATTTTTTTAAATTATAATAAACCGTTGATCAGTAAATCTTACCACGCCTCTTTGTCCTTTTTCTTGGGATACTTGATACAAGGTATTGATTCTTGTTGGTGACTCAGCTGTGCTTGCAAAAACCGGTCTCCATTCTTCAGTTGTGCTTCCATCCATCGAATCATATCTCGAACTTTGCCACTTGAGCATTTCAACTTATCCAACATCTGGACAACTACAATTGACACAAAAAAAAAAGATGATTGCAAAATTACACGATAGAGGATTCAAAAAGTCTGAAATTGTCCTCTCTCTTCTTCCCAATAAAAACGGCCGGTAAAGCAGTGTCGAAATGCCACATAAACGGTCATATTTTGTACTGACCTCGTTAATTGACATCAGTTAAAACTTCTAATGACCTCAGTTGATATCAGTGGAGAAGTTAACTGTTTAAGAAGCGTTTTAACATTGTTTAATTGGTCATTTTTCACGAGACTTCTAAGTCTCAAAAATTCACATTCAAACAAGTGTATCTTTCAAATCACTTGTCTCATTAATTAAAGTTAGTGATTCACATGCTGAAAACTTTCTTGAAATTCAAGGGAGACCAGCATTCTGTTTTCTTTTGTTAATTCAGATTAGCTATGAATACGAGGTGTGGGCTGTATATGTATAACTTACCTACTGAGGGAACTAAAACGATGAACTTTTTAGAATTTACAAATTGTTTCACAAGTGGAGAAAAATTTACTAGAGCATCACAATCAACAATTAAATAAGGTGGTAGCGGTGCGTTCCGTTCTGTTTTAGATTCTAAATTGCGTACTTCTGCTCTCAGCCAAGCTTTCCCCATGTTTTGCATCATTTTTCCTCGAGCTAAACCATCATTATGAGCCTAAAATTTCACACGAAAATCATTTGTTATCACAAAGATTTATTACAATTAAGTGTATTTCCTTTGTGTTCAAAGTTCTTATCCACAATTAATCAGTAGAGCTTATTCAGATGAAATGAATCAATGACCTTCATTCTAAGATCAACTAAAGCACGGGAAAGACAGCGAACTACATAGATTATCTAAAAAGTGATGAAATTATTGCAATTCTGACTGAATGCAAGATTCAAAAAATAAAAAAAATAAATATAATGCAAAATACATAATTCCCTGTTTGCAAGAAAAACAATTGCTTACTCAATTCAAACCGCACACTTTAACGATTTTGGCAGGTTTCTTCATCTTTAATTTTTAAATAAATCGTTAAATAAAATAATTAAAGATATGCAGTGAAGATACAAAAAAAAAAGCCGCATTTTCAAATTATTATTTTTTTGTTTTTGTTTTTAGATTTAAATTTGCTTCATTATTACAACAACCTTAAATAATATTCACTACATATACATGGACAATTTTTGAGTGAAATGTATCAACCTAAGAACTGGTGACTTACATCTAAAACCAGCAGATGTCAGAATTCGCTGTCCTGACCTCCTAATCTATCGCAAAATGTTGACTGAATGAGCTCAAGAAGAACTTGTTAGACTCATAGTGACTATCTACAAATGTATGTAAATATCTTTATTAGTTTGCATAAAATCCCGATTGTTGCATTACTTCTGAGAAGACCTATATTATTTAATTATTCTTTGTAATAAAAGGTGTTCTTAATGTTTAGAGTACAATCCTATTCAATGTTTTTTGCTGAAAAAATAAAGACTTCTAAACAAGAAAATTAAAAAACGTTTGTTGCACAGACAGGCGTTACCACTACAACCACATCAAACCTTCTGTGAGGTTTGAACTTTGCGTCATCCACAGTTACCTGACATTTCATAATCTATAAGAATCATACAAGTGGTTGGCCGGTCAGGAAAAAATACATGAAAAAGCCTTTTCAAAACAGAAAACTAATCAAGCCAGAAATCTGAGTTTTCTTATTACCTGGGAAGAAATAGTGGTCTGGTTTCCCACAGCAAACCATCTTTTAGCCTCATTGAATTCTACACACACTTCCTTCACTCCTGCAAGCTTACGGCCAAAATGTAGAATTTGAAATACTCTAACTCTGGTCTATGAAAACAGAAAAAAATATTGAGATAAAAAAGAGGTGGAGAGGACTTACTGTACATAATACTCTGTACATCATAATACTTTGATATATCGATAAACTTGTCGTTTCGATGATTATCAGCCCTTCCTGAGGCATCTAATGGAAAGAGGTATGTAACTTATGAAGGTATGAAAGGTAGTCACCGGATTGAACGCCAATTGGGGATCCATTCGGCAACAACGCGTTTTAGGCCCAAATTTTTCACAGCAATGTTTTGAATATTTCTGTATTACATTCAAGTGATATCTGCTAGTTAATTAAATGATCTATAACCACCCTCATTCACAAAAATGCAATTTTATTCGTTATTTGCATCGGCTCTATCCAATGGCGATGGCGGTTTGTAGCCTTACAGGGGTTTCGGGCAATTCAGCACCATTTTTAAAGCAAAAAACCGAACTTGCACTGAAGTTTTTGATGAGACTTGTTCTCCAGAGGCAGCACTTCAAAAGGTTACCAGAGAAAGTCGTGTTTTTATAGAGTAAGAGAGAAAAACTTGAGCGCTAAGTGTTGTTACTGAAATTGACCCATCTTCAATAACGACGAACTCGCCAGACAACCCCTTAAACCAAGTCCCGCCAAAATAAAAGAAAATGTGCCACCACGTTGAAATTTGGCAAAGTGACTCTTCATAGCTCCTAGTTACACCTCCTACCGGTGGAACCCGAATATTTACCGTCGTTGCCAAATTAGAGCAAAATTCCGGTTTTACTTGGGTCCCTCCTCGTACATCTCTTATAAGAATTTTGCCCAGAACGGAATCTTATCATACCTTCACCTTTTGTAGAGGGAATTAGAGAAGTTAAAAAATGTTGGAGGGTTGACAGGGGGGGGGGGTGGTCAAAGAAAAATCAACTTTTGAGCATAACGTTTGAACAATTCCAGATATTGAGTTGAACTTTTTTTGAAGAGAAAGAGCATAATTAAATCTTTCTATCGAGTCTAAGAAACTGACAATCGGTCAATATTAGACAAGATTATGACTCATTGAATTTTATTTTGGATTTTTCAATCTTTCAATGTGAGGGGTCGCACAATATATTATAAATATGTGTGCAAAAGATAGCCCTTATTTTTTTCTTTAAAATGAGCCAAAGGACATGTTGGAGAAATGATGGGTTTCGGAGTTATGCTTTCTTAAAGTTGACGCGACAGGGTCCCTATATGAGCTTTGGGCCAGAATCCTGTAGGATCGACCGAATTTTGCAATTTCAAAACCCGAAAAACGGCAACCTCGCATGCTTATAATAAGGTAGACTTAAAATTATTCACTCGGTATAAATGGTTAGTTTTTTCATGCTTTTTGGCGATAGTCGCAACTCAAACTCTACATTACCCTATCAGCTGCATCATTATGGGATACGTAACTTGGCAACACCGCATAAGGGGGCGTCATTCTCTAAGGGAGGGTTTGAAACTTTTGAGGACTCCCTCTTTCATACCAGAAACCAACATTCATAAAATCTGAACTCCATTGGATTAGGAATGGTGGGTTTTGGTTGTCACACATTAGCCTCTGCTGCCGTTTAAACATTAAATTGGAACAACCCGAAAATAAAAAAAACGGCCCCTCCTACGATTTCGCGGTTGTCACTTCTTCAATCTACAGACCTTCTCTGACAATCTTGTAGGAAAAAAAAATCGCGGGAAATCCTCAGGAAAATTAAAACTTTTTACAGCTAACCAGGGCAGGTAAGCCGCATTTCTCGTCATTATCGGTGTTTAATAAGGACACGTTGCATTGTCCCTGGATGGAAACCTGTGCTTTTTCTAAGAGTATAGCTTCTGAAATCGTCATTCTATCACTTTTAACGATTTGCAGGCATTTCTACGAATTTGAACAAATCTGTAAAATACCCATATTTTACAAGTTTTTTCAATTTTTTTAGAGAACTATCTCAATTTTGAGGGATTAAAATTATTTTCTAAGTGTTCCACTGGCCATAAACGGATTTAAAACATCTGATTTACCAAAACCAGTAGAGTTCGGGTGAAAACAAGGAGTTGGGATTTATTTAGCGCAATTCTTCATTGAAGGATGACACATTTTCGTGAAACTGGCTACTTTAGAGCCTCGGTACAAGCGGAAAGGTTTTAAAATTTTAAAAAAAGAAAAAAACACTTGTTTGTTTATTCATTTTACACATAGCACCGTTTTTACCCCTATTCATTAAGCGATATCCAAAATAAATGTTCTTCGCTCCACTCTATGGAGCTCTGGCTTGAGGATCAAGTGCAGATCCTATCGCATCAACTATAAAAAAGCATAACTCCAAAACTGATCATTTCTCTAACATGCTCTTTGGCTTATTTTAAAGGAAAAACAAGGACTATCTATTGCACACATATTTATAGCATTTTGTGCAACCCCTCACATCAAAAAATTGAAAAATCCAAAATTAGAATCTTTCAAAAAATTTAATGAGCCATACTTTGTAAAAATTAACCGATAGTCAAAGTCTGATACTCGATAGAAAGATTTTATTAAGCTCTTTCTTTATAGAAAAGTTCAGCTCGATATCTGCAACCGTTTAAAAGTTATGCCCAAAAGTTTATTTTACTTTGACCTCCCCCCCCCTTCCCCCGATGCAACATCCAGGAGTCTGTATTGTGCAGTCTTTTTTGGCGCGTATACGTAGTATACCGCCTTTGCGATCGTTTCGACCCCCCACTCGATACAATAACCGAGTCCCTTAGTTCCTTACCGAAAAGTGACTACCGCGAACTTCTGAGATTTTCCAAAGTGTGTAAAAAGTTTACTAATCCGTCAATAATTATGATTTAAAGTTGTTTCTCATTCTGGGGCTTTCTAATTTATGTGCAGTGAATGCCAAGAGTCAACGTTACTTGGTTTTCTTAAGAAGAAGCCTGAGAATGCGCAGCGCTGATTTAAAATATGCATATATAAGCAGAAGCAAGCAAACTGATTCGAGGATGGCTGACCAGTTCGGCACTCTTCGAATGAGAATTTCACTCACTCCGTTTTGTTCAAAACGTTGCTTTGACAGATCTCCACACCCCTGTTATGCTTTTCAAAATTTGGTACCACTGCTCTGATAGCCAGGGCAGCCGTAAGTGCAATCTGTGATGAGCCTCGAGATTCATTAGACCATTTGCTAGACGTGGCTCAAACAGGAAGCTACTTGCGCACATATGGAAATCTACCTACCCCTCTCTCCTCCGCGCGCCTGACCCCAGCGTCGGCTTGTCGAAAGAGACAATAGCTCCGGATCCCGGTGAGCGGCCGGCGGGACCCGGTTACTCACGCTTCATTAACCATTTCACCGTCACGCTAGGATTCGTCCAATTTTCAAAAAAAATTGTTTCGCGTGTACTTAGCAATTTTTTTCTTACTCTCCGTTAAAACAAGAATTAAAAAAGGTCTCATTCATAAAAATCGGCCGAATAGAAGAGAAGTTACGGTATTCGAAATCTGAAGAAATCAACAAAACCTCGAATTCTCCAAACAAAAAATAAAATGAAGGGGAAAAAAAGAAATGTATAAATTACAATTAGATAAAATTGACCGCAGAATTTGACAAGCAATTCCATTATATAACGGAGAAAAAATTGGGAGTAATTACAACAAATTCGCCTCTTGCAAGGGGCTTCCATGTAAGAATTTTGACCTGAAGACAAGGGTCGAACAGCAACAGTACTCCATACAATACACAGTGTGCCTCAACGAGTTAAACATGTTTTATATATCCATATCGAACATTTTTTACTTGAGTGTCTCTTGAGTCGTTTAAGCCAAAAAAAAAAAAAAAAAAAAAAAAAAAAAAAAAAAAAAANAAAAAAAAAATACGTCGAAATTCGGGAATGTAAAGGCGCTTTAAAAGTATGCTGGGGCTAAAATAGCTAAATCACCAGTAGTGAATCCCGTTGTATTATTAAAAAGAAATTGACTCCATAGTTTAATGCCTTACTTTCTTAAATACGATTATTTTAAGTACTCAAACATTTATACCACCAGTTTTAGCCATGAGGTGATTTCCTGAGAGCCGATAATATCACGAATTTCTCATAGAACCCTTCAAAAATGGCTTGCTTTTTGGGCAGCCGATTCGGCCATCGAACCGGGGTTTGAAGGGAAGCTGATAATAACACAAACCTCTGAGAAAAATTTTGAGATGGATTCTGTTCAGCATATCGATGCATAAGCATTTTCACACGTAGAATCTAATTTTCACGTCAGGGAGTGGACATATTTTGATTTTTTCGATTATATACGGAAAATTTATGGTTCTTCGGGATTGAAATTACTTGTAATTGTTTCTTGAAAAATAAAGGCACCCAAAATGACTATAGCATATTAACTATTACATATGTGCACTCACGAAATTGATTCGTAAATTCAACGAGTGGGTAAAATCGACCTGGTGTAGACATTTTACGGCAAATCGGTAGATTTTCGGGATGTAGATTTCTTACTTTCAATTCATGAGTGAATAAAGCATAGACATGGTTGAACTTCTTTCCATGGAAAGACGTTCAAAGTAACAAAATCAAGACATATTTAAAGCAATTTTATTTATATCGAGTCAATTTCTTTTCAATAATATAACGGGATTTATACTACCAGTGATTTGGGTATTTTAGCCCCAAAATACCTTTAAATCGACTATATCCTCTAGGAGTTCGACAGAATTTTTCCTTTCTTCGCTTAAATTATTCCGCAGTACTTTTCTTCAAGAATCTGATAAGATTTTGCTTCAGGCAGATTAAAAAACTCAAATTCGTTTGAATAGCTTTCTACATTCACAATACACGGTCTCGTCAAAGTGCGTCGTTGAAGTGTTGGATCGTATGAATTCTCTTGTTGTGCTACTTGCCTATTTTGAAATCTCTGTAAATGAAAACTAAAGGGGTTGATATGTGCGAGTTAATGACGCGCCTTATCAACACATTGTGTTGGAGTTCACTGCTTGTTTTGCAATGTGCTGGTGTTGGCCAAATATACTTGTCACATTGGCAATGTGTTATCAACTTTGAAATTCGGTGATATGTTGCCAATTTTGGTTCCTCAGATAAATAAAAGTCCTGGAGGGGGTCTTTCAATAAGTCGTTTTCAAAACCTCGAGTTACTCAGTCACTATTAAACTTGGAGAGCTGATCTTGGTCTCATTTTATAAGTAATAAATTACATTGAATTTAAGCAAACATAAACTGCAAATCGATGGCTGTTTCTGTTTGCTCAAAGACCGAAAGTGTGCAAAACTTTTTTAACACCCTAAGTGTAATTCGAAAATCAGCAGCTTTCAATTGTTATGCTTTCCAAATGTATATCTTCGAACGAAATTCTTTTCCTCCCTCTCTTTCTGACCAATACTTGAATTGTCTCCCATTGATAATACAGACTTTGTCTCCTTTCTCATTGCAGTTATGAAACGTTCTAATTCTTTGTTCATGTCTACAACTTGCTTCTTCTTTTCGTTGCTTTGTAGGCATATGTACATGGTTAGACCAAAATTTCTGATTTGGTATTTCTAATCTGAGGGCACTTATCTTATTGCTGTCTGTCTGGTCTAAATTCCTTCATACCATTCTTCCACCTTTTATGGATAGTAAGACCCGTGCCAAAGAGCCTGTTTCTTATGTTAGAGTGTTGTATTACATGACCTGACATCCTTTTTTTAACTGTTATGTAACTTCTTCTGATGTCTCTGCGCGACCTCATCCCAGGTTTTTTCAGAAAGAGTCATTTCTAGATCAGCCCATCTCACTTCATCTTTCTAAGTTTCCATGCTAAGGATTCTGATACTTAAAAGTATGTCTCTTCTTCTGTCTTTTCTGTAGCATGGCTTGTTTTTTTTCTCTGGACTGACCCTCATCCTCTCTATTTTTTGTCATTATCATTTATCTTTTCATTCCAATTTAAAACCTCTTCTTGTTCAATTACTTGTATTCAAATGATTTAAAAGGATTTTTGTAACTTTACACTTCTTTATACTGTTGATATGGGCGATTAGTTTTTTGGAGCTCCTACCTCTGCCTCTGGACCTTTTTAATCATTGACTCCAAGGACCGAATTTTTCCAGCTCTTTCACAAAAAATACAACAGCCATCGATGAGTCCAAACCGCACCACGAGCCAATCAGAAGTGCTAAGCCGGACTTGGGTGCGGTCGAGACTCGTCCTATTTATTTTTAAGTACAATATATTTAAGTATATTCAAATACGATGGAATGACCCAGAAAATTCGGCCCCCGGGTCAACTATCTTCGTCTCTATCATTGCAATCAGCTGATATTTTTAGGATTTGATTATTGTTTGGGATGGGAAAGCTTAAGGCTGATGCCATACCACTTCTAATCTCTGTCTTTCCATTTCCAACTGATTTTTTCTTCTTGAAATTAAGTCTGCTCTGTCTCATAACTACTTGGTGAGCTACACTTTTTTCAGGAGACAGCTATTCCTGATTTCTCTTGGACCTCTTTTTCTTCATCTTTATGAGCCCACATATCCTTTAAAGCTTGATGCTTGTGGTACCGTAGATAATTTCCTGATCCTTGAAGTTTACAAGTTGCTTTCTTACTTCAGTAATCTGATTTTTCTTTTTGAGTGACCTAATTCTACCACCGATGGGTCATTTGGGCTCGTCATACGACAAGATTTTTTTCATACTTTTTCAGTATTCCAGGCTGCTTATAAAAAGTCAGTACTATTTACAGACTTTCCAGATTTTCCAGACTAGTAGACACCCTAGACCTTGTAAAAAGCACTCGTGCCACCCTATCCTCCATTTTTTTGCGGCTTCATGTTTTAACATAATTTACAATTAAACTTCGTGAGTGATTCCAGACATAGGCTTGAGCTTTGAACTTGTCAAAATTCGCGATATACACGCCGTTTTTATCCACGTTTTTGCGACTTGGCTTCTATTTAGCAGCATACTCGCATAACACAACAGGGTGGTCACCAGCAGGGGTGCAAACCAAACCAGAACCTAGAGGGTTCCAGTGGAATCGAAACCGGTCCCCAACCGATGGCTTCAATGGAACCTGTGCCAGAACCAAAATTACTGGGCTTGGATTCCAGATTCTTAAAAGATTCCGCATGAAGTAGACCACATCGACTGACGGTTTCTTTTAAAAAAAAAAATGTTTTATAATTTTTTTGTTAAATGAAATATTCCGCTAAAGGGATTCCTCTCTTGAGCTGATGAGGCTGCAGAATTTTCCTCAGAAAGCCACAAGCACAAGGAAATTGAAATTATGCTGAACAATTACGTGAATGAAAAGCAGCTGGTAAACTTTGGAAAATTTCGGTCACCGCTGAAATTTAAACATGCAAAGAAAGAAGAATTTCATAGAAGCTTCACTATGTTTAAGCTGGCTGCAAGTTGTCATGTCAGCATCAGCAACACTTGTTTCAAAGATGTTTTAAGAAAATGAGCTCTATATTGTCACTGCTAGGGGCATCAAGCTGGATCTGCTTGCAAGTAACTTTTGAGGTCCAAGTATCCAAAATCCTACAAATTCAATATTCGAGTGCTTACAATCGGTTGTTTTTTAAATAAATTAGATTCATGGTGCAAAATATTCAACTAATTTAATTTTTTAAACATTTCAACCTGTGTTTTTTATTTGTTATGTAATAAAAAAATTTTATACTTTAAAGCCTCTCTTAGCATAAAAAAAAAAATCTTTACAACCAGATTTGAACCAGAACCTGAAAACTATGACCTGGGAGGAACTGGAACCAAATTTCGAAAGTCATTGAAACCGAGACCAATCCAAAGATTCCCCCATGTTCACAGCGTTGGTCACCACAACCTCAAGAGAACTCCCCGAAGCACCAAAAATTAAGTGATTCTCTAGCGTTCTTTATCTGATGCCTCCCTGGCGTCATTCGTGCCTCTTCCAGGTTTATAATTTATCATGATTGTACAGAACAAGGAAAGAAGTGGTACCAAGAATAATTCTAATTAGTCCACAACTCTCCACCATTTCTCTTTACCCTGGTCACACAACTATTACACACTGGTTGACGGACACTGACATCACAGTAATTATTATCAACTGCTTTGGAATTAACAATTTTTTGGCTAATTCTTGGGTAAGTTTGCTTAACATATTATCTGTGGTAAGTGTCATGTTGGCAACATAAAATCGTTACATAACTTATTCTTATAGAATGGATGAGCTGGAGTCTTCTGAAGCAGAATTAGGTGTTCTGAGAGTTAGAGGGGTTTTGAACGTAAAATGTATCATTCAGTCAATATGACAAGAATTGAGCAAAATTTAAAATTACGGGGTGGGGTGGGGGTTACCAATTTAATTTTAGTTGGAAATCACTCTCAAAGAGCACAAATATCCCATGCCCATGCCTACTCATTCAGCGGGAGTTGATTATAATTTATTGGGTGGAAGCACAGTTAAAAAGTATTTACTCCTGTAATGATGTACCTGTGTATCACAATCGAAGTCGTGTAATCTGACATAATCCAAGTTAATTCCAGAATGTGCTAACTTTAGAATTGAAAGATTGCATAGCTCAACATCTTCTTCTAGAGGAATCAAAGAAAAGTCGTCGTCTTTCAATGAAGATTCAAAAACACTTTCACCTGATCGGGGATCTACTTCCCCTCCAGGGATCTGCAGTAGAAAATTGAACAAAGTTATAAGGTTGGAGACGAGAGGACGTGAGCTCTCTACACACGATGACAGAATGTGCATGTTGCAGCTTAGCCAGTCACAGCAAACCTGCAAAAAAAAAGAAAAAATATTTTAAAAAAGGATTACAAAGATTAAGAAGTGGTGTGTGCAACATGGGTCATGAGAGTCCACAAATGCGCTACATTTTTAAAGAAGTTAAGAACGGAGAATCCTAATAAGGATTGAATGGAGCAACAAATGCATCATTTTCTAATAGGAAAATGAGTCCACAGAGGTAAATAATTAACCCGATATTTAGAAGTCATTAGTATGTTTGACAAGGCTAACAGGTAGCATAGCACACGGAACATCCCAAAAAATGATTATATGTCAGTTGGACATAAGAACACATCCACCCTCTCTCAAGGATAGTGCTGGGTCCTGAAAGTTTGAAATATTGCTCTCCCTCGGCAGCATTCGATGCCGCTTGGTAAATCATATTTTTCCTGAAATTTCGGTTCATTTCTTCCATTTTTATTTCTGCCAAAGATCAATTTAATTTGATTCAATTGCATATTGCACCCTGTAATTCAATAAAATAAGATAATAAATAATATGCCAAAGGTGCTTGCTTTGATATTTACTAGCTACTGCATTTCGCCCGTTCGGGCACCTTTAGAGCTTAGGTATAAATATGAATATTTTATAAAACCTTTCCCACATATTGTGATCGTTGGTCCATTAAATTTCGAACGATTCATTTTAATGCACGTTTACTTAGAAACTTAGACAAGTCATTTGCGACCGCGTGCGCAAAACTGGTTACTGTTTGCTGAAATAGTCATCAGGTAGCAGCACTGTAGCACAGGTTGATGAGCAGTTTATTGGCGGATTGTATACCTTATTGAGAATTCAATAGTTGTTCATTAATGAGGACGGCTCTGAGAACCTTCATACTTTCCAGGGCGTCTAGTATGATTTTCTCCTTTGTTACAAGGTGTCCCGGACCACCCGCACCAGGCCTTTTTCTCGATTGGTTTTGGTCGTATGAAGTTAGAGACCGCAGGGTTGAAAAGGGAGTCAACCCTAAGGAATCCGAATTTCATGGTCCTGAAGCCCTCCCAGTCCCCTTAGGGGGGTAAATGGGGATCACCATCCTAAAAGTCGGGATTCCCCATAGAATTGCGATTTGACTGCATTGAAATTAACGCCTAACAGTCCAAAATCGATCCACTTTAGGCCCAAAAATGATCCCTTAAAGAGGGAGACAGTGGCCCCATCCATAATTTCCCTTTGATCGCAAAACTGACGTAGATTCTCCGGAAGAAGATGATTCCTCTGGTAATCGAAATCAAGGAATCTGATTTGCATGGTCCCCAATCCATCTGGCTCCCCTTGGGACGTAAACAGGGGGGGGGGGGAGACAATTTCAAAGGACAGGATTCCATTCTGAATCGCAAATTGATGGCATTCAAATTGAAAAGTGCAACAAATTTAAACTTTAATTGACACCTGGAAGTTCAAATTGACCCAGTCGACGCCCAAAAGTATCCCTCGAAAGAGAGAAGCGGTACCCCTTCCCCCCCCCCCAAGAATTGCTCATTAGTCGCAAAACTGACGTAGAATCTCGGAAAAAAGATGGTATGCTAGTGAACTGACATCACAGAATTCGATTCTCATGGTCTCAGAGCTCCCTTGACGTCTCTGCAGAATTTTTAGGGAGGGGGGACCATCTCTTTCGGGAGGATATGTCAGTTTGGCGACCAATGAGCAAATCATGGAGAGGGCATCGCTCCCCTCTTTCAAGGGATACTTGTGGGTGTCAAATGGGTCAATTTGATCTCCCAGGCGTCGATTAAAGTTTAAATTTGTTGCACTTTTCAATTTGAATGCCATCAATTTGTGATTCAGAATGGAACCATAACTTTTGAAATTGTGTCCCTCCCCCCCCCCTTTTGCCCCCGGGGGAAGCTAGGTGGATTCAGGATCATGCAAATCGGATTCCCTGAGGTCGATTACCAGATTTTTCCGGAGAATCTACGTCAAAAAGGGAAATTATGGATGGGGCCAGTGTCTCCCTTTTAAAGGGATAATTTTTGGGCGTAAAGCGGGACCGATTTTGGTGTTATTACTATCATTATTTTTATTATTATTAGTATTATTTTATTTTTTATTTTTTTTTTGTAACTTGGAAGAGGGAGCACTTCTGGTACAAGTATTGCTGATGGGCCACAGGCCAAAGTCAGTAACACATTTATTATTATTATTATTATGATTATTATCATCATCATTGTCATCATTATCATCATTATCATGGAAATAATTTTGTTTTGTAATTTCATTTCATCAAAATATTCATATTTATAACAAAGCTCTGAAGATTCCTGAACAGGCAAAATGCATTAGCTAGTAAACATCAAAGTAAGCACCTTTGGCATATTATTTATTATCTTATTTACTACATTTAATTTTTTATTTCGACCTCCATTTAACATAATGAACCTGCTATAACATCGTATAGCAAAGGATGGCATGGACGGTGCTTGACTGGTAGTAGCTCTGAGAGGGGCCATTCAGGAGGCATGCGCCGGCAGAGATAATGTCCGCATGTGGCTCGAATTGCGGAACTGGCGGGACATTCACAGATAAATCTTGTAAAATAGGAGTTTAAGGTTATAAATCGGAATACAAGAGGTTTGGTGCATATGACAAGGTTTCCGAGGTTGCAAAGGTTGGTGCTTTTGTTGGATTTTGTGTATATGATGTGGCTGTTGTGTTTGATGAATTTACAAATTTAACGCCGACATAATATACAACCATTTTAAGTTTTTGAACTGCCTCTTAACTACACTTCTCAACAGCTCCTAGCACAAAGATGTTCAACTGGTACAAAATATATAAAAAGAACAAGGTGTGGAAGAAGAAAGAAAAAGTCATCTTTACAGAGTAAACGTAATGCAACACGTAGTAACCCAACCCACACTTTGTTTTTGTTATGTATTTGGTTGCTCTTACAAGGATTGGTGACAAAACATTTGGGACACCCATACATAAATACATTGATAATGATTTTAACGTGAATGTAGGTTTAATTATAGAGGAATAGAAATGATAGGTGGTAAAGTCTTCAGAATGGGTCAGAATTTGAACTTCAAATTTTCAAGGATTAATAAATTTGAAAAATTTAAAAAAAATGGACAAACCTTCACTGTTTGTAGAAGATATCCTGATTTTGAAAGTTCTTGGACGAATTTGAAAACAGGGTTGCTGAACATTCTTGAAGTTTGCATAACTTCGCTACCTTTTGCTGAACCATTCATATATGTCCTTCCATTCATTTGTTTTTGATGCTTCAATAATTCTTTCCCGCCATTCATACATTCACCTGAGAAGTATATAAATCAAAGGAAATAATAAGGTTGAAGAACAGCAAAATGCTGAGGGACTTGAACTAATTTTGTGCTACATTCCAATTCCAGGAACCTTTATTGAAACCTGTAGTTGAATTCTGTCCGCACATAATAAAACAATTCCATAACTTAAATTGCTAGAGTATTTCATGGACTTCAAGCATTCATAGAAATTTTAACAAAAAACGAAAAAAATGTTTCTAAAGCTTCTTTTCTTATCTGATTTCTGAGCTTTGATACTATTCGACGAAAAAATTAAAAAAGAAAGAAGTTAGTAATATATAAGAAATAAACTCACCGTTGCTTGCTACAATTCTATTAGTTCCAGTTTTTCCATCTTCATTATCTGACTGAGAACTTGAGTTTTCATCAAATATCAGCTCTTCCTCACTTTCACTTGAATTTGAACTGATGATCTCAACTCCTGAAAAGTTAAAAAAAAAAAGGAGATTGTTACATCTGTCAAAGAAAATACCGAGAAAAAATCATAATCAGGCAGTTTGAGATAAAATAATCTAGATTCAACTGCCGACTCCCAAACAAGAAAATTATTGGCATGATTCAGTAGTAGGGTGGTCCTTGTTTTCAACTTTTTCGGTTTGATATCGTCTCACCCCCTAAAAAGTTAAGAAATAGTTAGTAGAGAACAGATAACAAGTTTTTCGAAGAAAAAAATTATTAATGGACGCGCCCGAGCTGTATAGTAGCGGCGGTGCCGTGGAAAATCGCGCTTTTGGCCGATCCGCGCATCTGTTCGAGCATGAAGCCGTTGCTCTAACCCTTTCATGAGGCTGACTCTAACACACTTTTTACGTGCTTTTACATGGTATTAACAGTTTCTCTTCCAGACTTTGAGAAAAAGAGATATCTTTGCCAGAGGAGGGGCGAAAATGCGATTGCACCCGCCGCAATCGAAATTTTTCCATGGGATGAAGCCTCCTTTTAGATAGGATGAATGCAGTCTGGAGTCATGAAATTTTTCATTCTAGCTCGCATCTTGTTCATGACGGTGTTTCAGTTCTGTTCAGGATTTTGCTGAGCTCACTGACGAGTGTGATCTACTGATGAGGTCTAAAGAGACCCAAAGCGATATCAATCTCTCCATCAGACTTAAGCTTAGTATTTCAATGAATCTGCTTGAACTGAACAATTTCTCTCCTCAGTCTTAAACCAATGCTTACTTGAGCTCATACTTTTGACACTGATTGAAAATTTGTGGTATTACTTGGCCTTCATCTCCTCAGAGAATGGTATGAACCTAGCACTATTCTACCATCCTATTACTTGCAGTTTCGACTAAATTTTTAGTGTTTTTTTCTAGTCTGCGCTTTTATAAGCGCTTTTCCCGTTCAGGAACAGGCAATTGCGTCTAGATGTGTTTGCATCTCCAACCACTTGCTTATCATTTTCATCCGGTTTTTCTTGTTCTGTAACTTACACACCTAACATACAGGGTGTCCCAGGATTAAATACGAATATTGAAGGAGTCGATTCTTTGGGTCAAAAAAAGACGTTTTTGAGGTTAGAATTTTTCTCCAAAAACGCTTTCCCTGGGCGCCACAACTCCCAAAAATTGGAGGAAAAAAATCGTTTTTTTAACTTTGCGGCAATGTTTATCAACCAATATGAATAAAAATTGGTAACTGGAAATTTTTAGCGTTCTTTTCATTTTTGACCTCCAAAAAAGGTAAAACTCATTTGGAGGGGGGTTTAGGGAGGGTACTGAACCTAAAAGTAGACAAAATTAATGTTTTTTGCGACAAAAATTGATTTTTGATGGCACCACAAGATTTAGCGTTGAAAAATGTTGAGAAAATGTCTCCTACATTTTTCCGCAATAATTCATAGTTTTCGCGATAGTAGGGACTAATAGGGGGATAATGGGACCCCGACGGAAAGCGTTTTTTGAAAAAAAATTATACCACAAAAACGTCTTCTTTTGACCCGAAGAATCGACTCCTTCAATATTCGTACTTAATCCTGGGACACCCTGTAAAGAGTACGGAGTAAATTCTATCTCAATACAAAACTAGGCAATAATTCGGATTTGGTTGCTACGATGTGGTCAGATACTTACTTTGAGTGGCTTTTTGTTGATCATGCATTCTTCTAGTTCTCATAGGTTGCCAAGGAGGGGCTCATCAGCCCTAAAATTGCATGAACTAACATTTTTGAGGTCAGTAACCCTCCCCCTTAGCACTGTTATGTTATCAGCGACAAGTAAGCAGATAAAAGGGCAAAAGTTAAATAACCCGAGGTGTATGGATGGAAGAGAGTTAAGAACTATCAAGATAACTCGTTTGAGATGCAAGAGGGCCTAACTTGTCGAATTAGTGCATGTTTTCGGAGAAAAATCAATTCCGTTTTTTTTTCTATTAAATCATGCAAGAACCACTAATCTTAAGATCGGCAGGGGTAAAAGTCATCTGATTTTGAATTTTTAGAGCTAGTCTTTCAATTTGGAGTCAATTTTTAAGTCATGTCAAAATGAGCGCCTGAGGGCCTGTCCAGTTACCAAAGGACGATCTGCTTGAGGACGCCGGAAGGGACAGCCTGAAGCTTAGGTCAAAGGAGTCTCCGTCCTGTGCTGTCACGATAGAACAGCCCTTAAGGCGGCCACTTCTCCAAAAATTGCCCCGGTGAACCACAAAGCATTTGATTTGTGGGGGGGGGGGGGGGGGGGGACTATAGTTTGATTGACGCTTGCCACAATGGCACTACACAAAACAGAGGAGACCCTGATTTACATGCTGGTCCAACTTGGGATGCGAGAAATCATTGCCCAGTCTAAAAAAAGACTGAGTCACTTAGAATGCTTCCTGCTGACGAACAGTTGAGCTACTACAGGATCGAGGAAGCCAGAGGTGCCAGTAAATAAAAGGCCCTGGGATGTGACACCCAAGTACCTTGTGCAGATCGAGGTAGCTGGTAATACTGGCTGGTAAAGCTGGGAAGAGAAGGCCTCAAGGATTTGAAGCCTTCAGGGTTTTTCCAAGGACAACAGAAATGATGAGACTGGTTTTGTCGTAGAGGAAAGGGCTTTGGAGTTGTGAAGTGCCAACTTGAAACCGTCACTTCGTCTAAGAAGCTGATGATGACAATGGAGAGGAAACTTCAGGGTGTGACCTTGTAGTGCCTATTAATTATACTGATCAAACTTGATTGCAATGAGCTGGACCGCTGGGGTGCCAACATATTCAAATCGTACTGATTTGGTTGTGGGATACCTCAATGCAAAGCACCCTGAGCTATCTCCTGGGCGCAAGGTGAACTACAGATTGCTTATCGGTGTGATGGCACAGGCGTAACGTTATCTGCGTTGGAACAACCGCTGACGTGTTGGAGAGAGCTGAGCCTGACTGGAGTAAAGCTCCGGCTGCAACCTTAGTTCACGGAAACTACATCCGAAGTAGTCGTATGCACTTTCACTTGGAAAAATTTAGTGCAATCTCGGCGTTAGGCGAGTTGTGCTTGAGACCTCAAAGCAATACTACAAATAAAAAAAGATCCTGACAAAGTTGTGGGAAGTTGGGTCATAAGCATATGAAATGCAGTGATGCACCAGGCTTGTTCTTGTCCTTTTTGTTGTTACACTATTCAATGATTTATATTGACCTGATTCAAACACAAAAAAATTTCTAAGCTCTTGGCCGCGGACAACTTTCCAATGTGAAGAGTTTTTCATGAACAGGCAACCTCGGTAGCCCCAATCGATTCCCCCAAGGTGAGTGACCTTGTCTTAAAGATAAAATAATAAAAAACTTACTTTCAGACTCAGGATCGGATTCCTCTGAGGCAAAACTGTTGTTGCGTACTCGACGTCTCCTTCGACGGGAGTGCAATTTTTGATCATTTGATACGGTTTTCTTAGGTTTTGGTAAGGGAACATTTTCGGTAAATTTATTGGCACAAGTCTGAACTATGACAGATGTTAGGGACAGACATAAAGCCTCAGGCCCAGTTCTATCAAAACCTACAATTAGAAAACAGACAGTGATCTTTAAAATTAAAATATCCTTCCAGAGAGTAATTTTGACAAAAACATAAAGGTAGTGTAAAAAGAAAAAAAAAACCGAAGTTCAGCCAAAACGGATTTTCGGCATCACCGAAACTTGTTATTTATTTTTCAGATCTTGCATGGACAATAATTGACATAATTAATGATCATTTGAGGCTTGAGCCTCAACCAACTTGTCACATAAAATACAATCCAAAATCCTGATCAAGCCCTCCAAGTGCATTATAAATTTAAATTTCTATCTCATACAATCCTCCCCCCCCCCTCTTCCTTTTAGTAACGGTTTGTGTGGCTGATTGCAAACGTTGTCACGCTGATGAGCAGGGGTAAATCTTGCGCATCCGTTCCCTAATGCGAGACTACATGCCTCGTCCTCACTCATTAGATGCTCCTTGCCAAAGAATATCTGAGTTCTGCCCGTGATTTCATCCTCATATTTCGGCAAGTATTGACTTTAGTCTGTAGGATTCAGGGAATGTTACTCATACAAACTTGATTTAAACGATTTTGTTCTTGAAACAAGGCTGAATCTTGCAAAGAAACATTGAAATCATTAGGGTGTTCTTCATCTTGGTTTAGACCATTTCACATGTGTATCGGTAATTTTATCGAGACAAGCATAAACTATAAATAGCGCAAGGAAAATTAAATTCAAAGAAGTCAAAGAAAAATCGTCGATTATTTTCACCTTTTTCGATGCTCCTTTGGATACACATAAGTAAAATAACAAATATTTTGAAGAGTAGCTCATCTTTTAGGAAATCAGGTTGTTTCTCCACGGATAGAACGGCATCATCCAATGAGTCCGGTTCTTTCATCATGGGTCGAAGCAATTCTTCTTCTCGACATTCTTCGAGTAGTTTTAGCCATCTGTCTACCAACTTGGAATAGAAAAAAGAGTTTCATGATGATAAGCACAGGCAATGAGATGGAAGATACATACAAAATCACCCAAATCTTCTCAGAGGAAATATTTTTGCGACCTGATACATTCAATCAGTAGTTACTGCCTCGTTCATTCCTAAAGTTTTAAGTTCCCCTAAAAAATTTGAAAGGACATGCAAATGAGGTTCAAGTACCAAATCTGCAAAATTTATGCACTTCCAACTTACCAGGCTATTTTCTGCATGCGAACACCCCACAAGGTAGATCGGTTGTCATGCAAACAAATCTCAGCGCACTCCGTTGGGAATTGGCTAGTGCGGTTCAATTCTTCTTTAATAGACAGTTATGAATGGGAATACTTTTCAATATTACTAACGGAGGCTATCTAGCCAAATCGTATAAACCTCTGGCAGTATTGCTCCAAGATGTACTTTTGAAGTTTACAGATTAACCGTGAGGGGGTCGAATGTACTATTGGTATATGTACCGTTTATGCCCCTTCAGCAGGTCCCTCCTCCCTGGCCAAATAAAAAGCATTCTTGATTACAGGTTGAAAGAATGCAAGTTCTATTCCCAACTTGTCCTTTATCTTATTTTCAGAATTTTTATTACTTGATTTTTATGAGTTTCCAACTTTCCCTTTCATTGATATGTTCTACTTTCTGTGTCTTAAAAGTCTTCAGTGGCAACATAAAGAATGCATTTGTGACTTTAAGAGCATGAAGGTTAGGTTAGGTTAATTTTAGTTCTTCATAAATTGCCTCTTTTTTCTGCACAAGATCGATGCCCAGTCTCTCATGCGAGATATCAATGAAAGACGCATTAAAAAGATTCAATTATGAATAAAATAAAGAGCAATTATCAGATTCGTGGTCCACCTACGTTAGAAGGAGAGGAAGAGCGTTGACAATTAGATTAAATGACTCTTGTAAACTAATAAAATTTAAGGGACCGTCGGCGTGTCCCTTATTTGGTAGATGTATAAAGAAGCTCCACTAGGCGAAATCAAAACTTCATAGTGAGGTCGCTGAGTAATGGCTGAAATGGCGTAGGAAGGATAAGATTTTGCTGTGCACAGATACTGCGCTTATACTAATGAAAGGATTAATATTTTTCTATTCCTGTCACCAGTAAAACAAGAGCTTCCAGAGCATTTTGCACATGATAGAGTTCTGTCAGGTTGAACATGGGCTTTTGGTCTTACGCACCATCTAATCAAAAATTTAAGAACAAACATATGTCCTTACACAGGCAGGCTTTTAGTTTCTTCAGCAAGCCTCTTCAGGTTGTCACACAGAACTTCGACATTTCCGTAAAAAGATCGGATTTTTTAAAAGACTTGTGGATATTAAGGTAACACATCTTAGGCAGAACAAAAAGCTCAAAACTAAACAGAGTGAACACTTACAGCTGCCATACTTTCTCTAGGTGTTCTATCAGAAAACAGTAATCCAGCTATGTACAGAAATTCCATGATGCAATGTTTCACGAGCGGACCATCTCCTCCACATCTTTCTGATTCCAAACTACTAGCATTCCGTGCCAGCACAGACGTTAGGTTTCCTTCGGTGCCTTCAAAAGATTCTACAGCACACATGCTAAAAGAAAAAATTTGATGTATTAGAACCGCTGCCGACTGCTATGAGGTCAGTTTTGGAAATGGTAACAAATCAAGCAATATGGAGTATTTGGACTTTTTTTAAATGCAGTCTTCTTTGCGGAGGAGGGGGGAGGGGCTGTTACGGTGGACAGTTTTTGAACTTTTTTCGAAATTCCATGACAGCAAGTGCTAAAAAGTTGCGTTTTGGCATAAAAATAACGCTCAAGTTTTTTCAGAATTTTTGGATGATGTCCTGAGCCCATCCCGACGCCATCTTTGTTGCCAAAGAGGGTTGTACAAAATCGGCGATTTTACTCCCCTCTTGGATTTTGCCCGGAGTTGGATATGTTGTTCCCTATCACAAGACACGCCTTTTTCCGGCGTTGGCAAGTTCACCCGAAATTTTTCCCGCGCGCTACAGCGTTGCCAAGTTGAAAACAGGCAAATTCCGTAAGTGGCGTTAAAATTGAGCTATGAAGTTGCGGTTTTAACGAAAATTCTCTAAAAATTACGTACTTTTAGGAAATGACCATCAATTTAATGTCGCATTAATTTTAACATGCATTGTTGCCAATTTTTCGATTTTTTAATTCGACTAATTTTACAAATCCGCAAATACCCATAAAAGCTATCTTCAAAATTGAATAAAAAGTTGTCTAATCGATAGTTCGTTTGATTCCGCATCCATCGATATATTATAGCTCGCTGGGAAACTTTTGGTTCGCGAGATATCATCATTTTTGTAAACAGCTTTATGGAGCGACGACGCTTTTTGAGTCCGGGCGGATAGAAATTTTAGCCTCCAAAAACACAGGTCAGCATTAATTCCATGGTTTCCTATGTAATTTTTGGCGTTGAATCCGAATTTGACCATTTCATAACAAAATTGTCACCAAGAAGTTGCCAAACGGGGGCAAAAATGGCTTAAAATCGGCCTTTTTGGCGGATTATAGCCAGTGACTTGCCAGGAGTTGATCAGACGACAAAATTGGTTATTTCCACAGTTAAAACTCGTTGAACTTTCTACAAGCTGAGTCAAATTCTTCCTGCTCACGGCAAAATTAAACAAGCGACAAGCAGCAAACTGAAAAAAAGACTCCAAAATCGGCGCTTTTTGCGGTTTTTGTCCTAAGTTCCTTGTTTTCCGATTAAGAGTATGTTTCTAGACTAAACTAATGAACAACATGAGCAGAATTTAATGAAAATGAACAATAAAATAAAATCGAACGTATTCCGATGTTGCCAAGCTTAAACAAAATACTTGAATTTTCGCTGGTTTTTTCGATATTTGTCCTATATTCTTTGTTCACTTCTTATTTTTAAATTATTTAAATGTACGTATCTCTCGTGCAAAATAATAAACTTTTGCAGATTAATTTAATTTTCAACTTACATATGTCGCAGGCAATTAGCAATCGCCGGCAATTTGAAAGCCAGTGATAAATAAAAGTAGAAAAGCATAAAATTCAAAAACAAAATAATAAAATTAGAGCGCTGATTATGTTGCCTTTAATGTGAGTAAACACTTTTCCCACCGTAAAAACAGTAGAAATAGGAACTCTCAGAAGAGCGTGTAGTGAACTCTGTGACATTAGTTGGGTTGAGATCGGGCAGGCAACTAAACTAACTTCGAGACAAAGCGTAGAGTATCACAAAAAATGAAGGCGCTCCAAGGCGAGTTGATGCTTTTGAAGACCATAATCCTTTAAAATCATACCATCTCGATTCGGATTATTGCGAGTTATCGAAACAACATGTGAACTGCTTGCAAATTGCCGGCGATTGCTAATTGCCTGCGACAAATATAAACTAATTACTAGGATTTTTATTCCAGAGAGGAAAAATTCACAAAACAGTGAGTTTTGTCGAATCATGTCAATAAATCACATTTTGAAACAATAATGGAAAACTTTCTGCTAACAATTAATGAATAAAATGTACTCCTCAGAATGACTTCATTAAAACAAGACAAGACGCATTGCAATATTGCCAAAATTACGTAGAATCGTTGAATTTTGGCAGTATTTGACAGTTATTATTCATCGCCCTATATTCAGTATACAGTTTTATTTTATAATTCTGAGAAAATGGAGTTTAATAGAAAAAAGTAACAATACCAAAGTGAAGAAGCCGCCTAGGAAAGGGCAATAAGGGGCTTAAAAAGGAACAAAGGCGCTCCAAATTACTGAGGACCTGTGGGAGGACATGGAACTATGGCAGTTAGGCGTTGCGGGGCGCGGGACCACTGTTAAAGCAGCTCCTATCTATGTATGTAACAATACAATAGTTTGTCGTTACACTCTGTGTAATTCAGAATTTCCTAAGAAACGTTCATTCAGTCGGAAAACAAGAAACTTAGGACAAAAACCGCAAAAAGCGCCGATTTTGGTGTCTTTTTTTCAGTTTGCTGCTTGTCGCTTGTTTAATTTTGCCGTGAGCAGGAAGAATTTGACTCAGCTTGTAGAAAGTTCAACGAGTTTTAACTGTGGAAATAACCAATTTTGTCGTCTGATCAACTCCTGGCAAGTCACTGGCTATAATCCGCCAAAAAGGCCGATTTTAAGCCATTTTTGCCCCCGTTTGGCAACTTCTTGGTGACAATTTTGTTATGAAATGGTCAAATTCGGATTCAACGCCAAAAATTACATAGGAAACCATGGAATTAATGCTGACCTGTGTTTTTGGAGGCTAAAATTTCTATCCGCCCGGACTCAAAAAGCGTCGTCGCTCCATAAAGCTGTTTACAAAAATGATGATATCTCGCGAACCAAAAGTTTCCCAGCGAGCTATAATATATCGATGGATGCGGAATCAAACGAACTATCGATTAGACAACTTTTTATTCAATTTTGAAGATAGCTTTTTTGGGTATTTGCGGATTTGTAAAATTAGTCGAATTAAAAAATCGAAAAATTGGCAACAATGCATGTTAAAATTAATGCGACATTAAATTGATGGTCATTTCCTAAAAGTACGTAATTTTTAGAGAATTTTCGTTAAAACCGCAACTTCATAGCTCAATTTTAACGTCACTTACGGAATTTGCCTGTTTTCAACTTGGCAACGCTGTGGCGCGCGGGAAAAATTTCGGGTGAACTTGCCAACGCCGGAATAAGGCGTGTCTTGTGATAGGGAACAACATATCCAACTCCGGGCAAAATCCAAGAGGGGGGTAAAATCGCCGATTTTGTACAACCCTCTTTTCGATTTTTTCGAGAAATTTTAAAGACTCTGTTTAAGGCCCAGGAAACGCGTAGAATTAATCAAAATGCAATTTAAAATACTTTAAATATCATTTCAAGCGATACAGGTTAGGATAGGACACCCCCAACGCGCAGGGAATGTCTTAGGGGACGCAATCATGGACCCCCGAAATCCCTTAGAATGCGCATAAATACTACCTGTATTTTATGTTAATTTTCATTGATTCTATTTTTCTCATACTTTGTGTTATGACTAACAAGACTTATCAGTAGACTCTGTCCTACCATTTTACGGCTTACGATGTAGAATTAGGGTGCAAAGGAGTGCTACAGGGATGCCATATCCCTCAGTAATGAAAAAATAACCACCGGGCTAGAATGGGCCTCTGATCCGTGGACATCACTGGAATAATGTTCCTGTCACCTGAATTGAGTACTTCTTAGTACAGTATGCTCAGACTAATGGTAAGATATAATACAATTAAACACATTAGTAGTTAAATCTGGCAGCAGTGGGTGGCGGTTTCCATGCGCTTCGCGGATTCTAGAGGAACGAAGTTAACTACCCGAGGGTGTTCAGTTTTGAGGCGACCATCTCAAAACCTTGCTCCCCGGGCTTTTTCTCATTCCTTTTGGTCCCCAAAAGATAATTCTGTTGTCTCAGCATGCTACCTGAAGTCTATGTATTCCCCCAAAAGCTGTATTAAAATTTCGGAAGAAATCACATTGGTTTAAATGGGAAGAAAATGGGTCGATCCGCGGAACTGCGTTTTCCGGCTATAAAATGCGTCCAAATTATTCCAAACCTAAGCATGTCTTCGGAAGACACCCTGAAGCCTATTTTAAACGAGAAAATTTCATTTTTCACTCAGGAGTAGGGGTAGGGTGGGTCATGGCACAGTTAGTTTTGAGGCGCTGCGCCCTGCAAACTTGTCGTATTTGACAGTATTTCATCAACCTCAAAGGAGGTCTTCCAAGGTAGAGGAGACTAATATATCTCACAACGTGTAAGAAAATAATAGATTTTTTTAGCCCTTAAGATCAATTTTTGACAATTTACACTGTTTCCAAATTTAGAAATTGAGGCCGGGAGAAAATTAGTGTATTTTTTGTTCCGTACTTGAGTGCTTATGGCAACAGTGTAAATTGTCAAAAACAGCTTTTAAGGACTTAAAAAAATTATCGTTTATTATTTGCTTACACAATGTGAGATACAATAGCCTCCTCAATCTCGGCACACCTGTTTTGAGGTTGATGAAAAACTGTCAAATACAATCATTTTTCTGCGCTCAGTGTCTTAAAAAAACCGGCACCGTGACCCACCTTCCGATCCGCGAAGCGCATGGAAACCGCCACCCACTGCTGCCAGATTTAACTACTAATGTGTTCGATTGTATTATATCTTACCATCAGTCTGAGCATACTGTACTAAGAAGTACTCAATTCAGGTGACAGGAACATTATTCCAGTGATGTCCACGGATCAGAGGCCCATTCTAGCCCGGTGGTTATTTTTTCATTACTGAGGGATATGGCATCTCTGTAGCACTCCTTTGCACCCTAATTCCACATCGTAAGCCGTAAAATGGTAGGACAGAGTCTACTGATAAGTCTCGTTAGTCATAACACAAAGTATGAGAAAAATAGAATCAATGAAAATTAACATAAAATATAGGTAGTATTTATGCGCATTTTTAAGGGATTTCGGGGGTCCATGATTGCGTCCCCTAAGACATTCCCTGCGTGTTGGGGGTGTCCTATCCTGACCTGTATCGCTTGAAATGATATTTAAAGTA